CAAAACTTTTCTTTTTTGGACAGTTTTTCTGGAGTTGCTTTCATAGCTTCTAATCTGAGATACCTTCTTGAGACTAAAGAAAAATTATTTCATGAAATGACTCTGGAAATCCCTGGAATAGCTTTCTCTCTTCATCAAGATAGAAAATGCTACCAAACTCTTATTACAGAAAATAAGACCAATAGAAACATTTAAAAGTTATGTGTCCTACAAGGGTACGTGGGGACTCTAGGTACCATATTTGTAATATTCTTCCTAAATTGAAAAATATTTAAAATAATTTTAAGTTTTACTAATACCTTTTAAACAGCACCCACAAATGACATGTCTACATTTCATTAATGTCACTGTTAAGTATAAATGACAACAAAACCTTGACCACTGAAAACAATGCACCCACTCCTTAGTGATAAACACATACCATATGGGAGATGAAAGTGAAACTTGTTACTTATCACATGTTTATAACTTGGTCATTAGGTTAGAACAGTCTTTAAACAAATTACGGTGAACCTGAAAATTTAAATACTCAAGCTCCTACTCCCTGAATTTCCTTCATGGCAAGGCTTCCCTTCTTGCCATACTTCCTGAATCATTTCCTATCAACACAGCATCCAGCTTGAAGCAGTTGTTCCTATTTCACATGGTGAACTTTAACACTACCTTAGCTTGACATTTATGAGAAAACTTCTTGATAAAAACTGTAATTCTCTTAGATCAAAAGTAGTAAAATGAAAACTAGACGGATGAATAAGTAAACAATGACCTTAAGAAAGCCAGTTCAACACCAAATAGAAAAGTTAGCAACCAAGTGTTAGGAACAAGAAATCGTAACTTTAATTTGTAGTCTTTTCTTGAATAACAAAGAAACAAAGACTATTTTGTATCTTATACTTTTTCATATGTACCCTAGAAAGACAAAAACCTCTCAACCTCTTTTTTTTTTTTTCAAGAGGTTTTTGCCTTAGTGCAGGTGCGCTTGTCAGAGAGAGAGAGAAAGAGAAACCATTCCCCAGGGGGAATGGCCATACCACAGTCCCCTCTCCTCTATTCTCCCAGGATCTTAGGCACACACACACATGTGCCTAGCATGAGTTTCAAGCCACTAGGTCCAGGACTTGAACCGTAGTGGGCCATGTTGGAGTCCAGTGACATAACTGCTACACCATCTGCTGGCCCCATCTTTCAATCACTTTTTAACTCATCTCGTAGCACACTTGACCCAAGAGAGCAATAGAGGACAAAGGCTCTTTGTCAAGGCTGGAGAAGTAGCTGTGCTCCCCTGCTAGAGCCGCCAAACAAACCCTCAGCCCTTATTATAGATTTTTATCGTCTATTTATGTAAAAACTCAAAAATATTCAATTATTATATTCAGAATATACGTCTTTTTGGGTTTTTAACACCTATTTATTTATCTATTTATTTTTAGTGATTTTCTCTTTTTCTTCTTAAAGAATTATTTTATTGGAACCAGTACTTAGTGTAATGGCTATGTCGCTGAACTCCCATGTAGCCAACCACAGTTCGAGTCCTGGACCCAGTGGCTTAAACTCACAGGAGCATGTGCATGCGTGCCCAAGATCCCAAGAGGAGAATGGAGGAGAAGGAATTGCGCCGTGGCCATCCCCCCTGGTGGGTGATTTCTCGCTTTCTGTCTCTCTGTCTCTCTCTCTCTTTCTGGCGAGCGCACACGCCCTATAGCAAAAACCTCTCCAAAAAAAAAAAAAAAGAAGAATTATTTTATGGAACTTCATTTATTTTGATCTGGACAGAGAGGGGAAAAAATGAGACAGAGAATGAGAAAGGGAAAATGAGAAAGCAAACTACCAGGTCCAATTCTCAAACCATAGCTGGCCATGTGGGAGTCCAACACCCTTAACCACCACACCACCTGCCAGCCCTTGTAGTGATTTTCAAGCCACAGGGTCCAGGACTTGAACCACAGTCAACCATGTGGGAATCCTTAAAAGCCACAGGGGCCAGGACTTGAACCACAGTCAACCATGTGGGAATCCAACACCTCAACCACCATGCCACCTGCTGGCCCCATTTGTTTATTTTTCTAATTCCCAGAGGGTACCTGTACTCATTGGAAAGACAGAAGAGAGGGAGAAGGAGAAAATATTCCCACGGGGGAGGGGGGGTGGTCACACCGCAATCCCTTCTCCTCCATTTCTTCATCCTGTCACAACTTTGTACACATACACACCTATGTGCCTGGCATGTTTTTCAAGCTACAGGGGTCAGGACTCAAATGACACAGTCTGCCATGGGGAATCCAGTTCCCGTAACCACGAGGCCACAGGGCCAGCCCCATAACATATGTTAATGATAAGTTGGTGTGTAAATTGACAGACAAAAATGAACACCCAGCAAATACAGCATTTTAAAAGTATCCCTTTTGTTTAAAAAGTATGTAGGGATATGCATGAAAGCATGTGTACATATATGCTATAAAAAGTATTGAAAAATATTCAAACTGAACGAAAAATTGTTAACTAGGGACTGAAATAGGGAGTAGTAGAAAGGAGAGGAATATAATTTTGTCTGAAATTTTTCCAAAAGAACTTTACTTACTTTCATAATTTAAAAAAGTATGTGTGTATGCATGTGTAAATTAGACTGACTATAAATACCTGAACATAACTTCAAATGCATATAAATTATAAGCCTATGATAAAAGTCATGTTTAAGATACATGAAATAATGTCCTATGTTAATAACAATAAGCCATTATTCCCCAAAACAAGCTGGTAATAAGAATTATTACAATGATATCATCCATGACACTGAAAAAGTGACAACCGGCTTCAATGGCTTTATCTATGGGACTGATACGGTCAGGACATGCTACTTCAAAACGTGGCACCTTGACATATTAAATCTTCCAAGCCGAAGGAGTCTGAGAAACAGGAGGTGCAGGAAGAATTCTCTGACCTTCCCTGGAGCAAGTCCTAAGACCCTGGTGGGTGATTTCTCGCTTTCTGTCTCTCTGTCTCTCTCTCTCTTTCTGGCGAGCGCACACGCCCTATAGCAAAAACCTCTCCAAAAAAAAAAAAAAAGAAGAATTATTTTATGGAACTTCATTTATTTTGATCTGGACAGAGAGGGGAAAAAATGAGACAGAGAATGAGAAAGGGAAAATGAGAAAGCAAACTACCAGGTCCAATTCTCAAACCATAGCTGGCCATGTGGGAGTCCAACACCCTTAACCACCACACCACCTGCCAGCCCTTGTAGTGATTTTCAAGCCACAGGGTCCAGGACTTGAACCACAGTCAACCATGTGGGAATCCAACACCTCAACCACCATGCCACCTGCTGGCCCCATTTGTTTATTTTTCTAATTCCCAGAGGGTACCTGTACTCATTGGAAAGACAGAAGAGAGGGAGAAGGAGAAAATATTCCCACGGGGGAGGGGGGGTGGTCACACCGCAATCCCTTCTCCTCCATTTCTTCATCCTGTCACAACTTTGTACACATACACACCTATGTGCCTGGCATGTTTTTCAAGCTACAGGGGTCAGGACTCAAATGACACAGTCTGCCATGGGGAATCCAGTTCCCGTAACCACGAGGCCACAGGGCCAGCCCCATAACATATGTTAATGATAAGTTGGTGTGTAAATTGACAGACAAAAATGAACACCCAGCAAATACAGCATTTTAAAAGTATCCCTTTTGTTTAAAAAGTATGTAGGGATATGCATGAAAGCATGTGTACATATATGCTATAAAAAGTATTGAAAAATATTCAAACTGAACGAAAAATTGTTAACTAGGGACTGAAATAGGGAGTAGTAGAAAGGAGAGGAATATAATTTTGTCTGAAATTTTTCCAAAAGAACTTTACTTACTTTCATAATTTAAAAAAGTATGTGTGTATGCATGTGTAAATTAGACTGACTATAAATACCTGAACATAACTTCAAATGCATATAAATTATAAGCCTATGATAAAAGTCATGTTTAAGATACATGAAATAATGTCCTATGTTAATAACAATAAGCCATTATTCCCCAAAACAAGCTGGTAATAAGAATTATTACAATGATATCATCCATGACACTGAAAAAGTGACAACCGGCTTCAATGGCTTTATCTATGGGACTGATACGGTCAGGACATGCTACTTCAAAACGTGGCACCTTGACATATTAAATCTTCCAAGCCGAAGGAGTCTGAGAAACAGGAGGTGCAGGAAGAATTCTCTGACCTTCCCTGGAGCAAGTCCTAAGACCCTCATGTGAGAGTGCCCTCTTTCATGCTGGAAGAAAGGACCATCCTTACCTCAGGTATATACGTAATATCGGATACACAAGGTCTAATACTCTGCATTCAGGCATTACGCCTGATGAAAGAATTGTGTCACCAGGTATAATCACTGAACGAGAATTCAGGATGAGCTTTAAATCTATACAGAAAGACAAAGTATTTTATGGTGTGCTTGAAAATTATTAGGGAAGCCGCACTGTGAACCCTTCTTTACTAGTGTTTCATCGTTCCTTTGGGTTCTCTTCCTATGATAATCACGTAACCTGAAATGCTTAGAAACCTATTTCTGTAACTCAACATTCACACTAGTAGCTGGCCCTGCAGCCCAGAGGGAGCCAGATCTCACAAGGCTGATCATGGTTCAAATCTAGGTTAAGGACGTTTGAAAAACAATTATTTCAAAATGGAAAGATAAAAACATGATAATCATAACCCATAAAAACATCTCTAAAAGAGATGGCCAAAATCTATATGACTAGAAAGAGGCTGAGTTTTTTAAAAATGCAAAGCTTATATAGAAAAACAACTTGCACAGAGAAATCACACTTGCAAAGCATAAAAAAAGAAGACATTTGTTACTGTACCAACTTTATGAAGTCATTCTACCTTTTACTAAAGTACAGATTATTAAAATATTAAAAGCTACACTGAATCAATAAAAATGTTACATTAAAATAAGAAGTCAACATGAAAGATTCTGTGAAAATAAACAAAATTTCTACCTTTGGCCATTTGGGATTGAGAAGCCGGGCTTTGATTGCATCATCCAGTGCCTTGTCATACTGCTGGATTTTCATGTAGGCTGCAGACCTATTGCTGTATAAGATGCAATTCTGAGGGTCAACAGCCAGGGCTTCACTATACAGAACAATAGCCGTGTGGAAATCTCCATCATGACAGGCCTGGTTACTCTGACGAACTTTCTCAACAAATTCAGCTTTGCTCAGTACTGGTCCATCAGGACTTCTCCGGCCAATAGTCTTAGTACCAAAGAGAGGGATCTACGAACAAAAAAACTCTGTCAAAGTTCAGATAATCCACATGGGTCCCTTGTTGAACCTCAACAGAACACAGACATTCCTTCGAGTAAACTTTTGTGCCCTTAGAGACAATACACTTTCCAGAAGCAGCCAACATGGCATCCTGGATGCATGTGTATATATGTGACAGTCACATAGGCACATATTTATATTTATATATGGAAATATTTGTTGATTGACAGAATGTATAAATTAAATACAAGCATGCTTAGGCTTTTTTTCTTGGCACATTAAAATAATACAAGGGGGCCAGCAGGTAGCAGGGTAGTTAAAGGTGCTGGACTCCCATGTGGCTGACCACAGTTTGAGTCCCAGACCTTGCAGCTTGCTCCCTCACTTTCTCTCTATCTCTCTCTGGTCAAATTAAAAATATATAAATAGGGGCTGGCAGGCAGCATGGTGGTTAAGGGCGCTGGACTCCCACATGGCTGACTCTGGTTTGAGTCCCGGACCTGGTGGCTTGTTTCATCACTTTCTCACTTTCTCTCTCTCTCTCTCTCTCTCTCTCTCTCTCTCTCTCTCTCTCTGCCCCTCTCTGGTCAAATTAAAATAAATAAAGCTAAATAAAATAAAGTTATAAAAGGGAAAAATCAAAATGAAAATATACATAGAGGGCATAATATGAAGTATGTTAAAATTGTTTCACATAAGAAAATAATAAAAGAACAAGTTCAAAATATTAACTATGCTAAATTATCTACAAATATAAGAATTTAGGATATTTTGGGGCCAGCAGGTAGCATCGTGGCTAAGGTTGCAGAACTCTTACATGGCCAACTGTGGTTTGAGTCCCAGACCCAGCAGTTTGCTTTTTCACTTTCTCTCTCTCACTCTGTTCTTCTCTGGTCAAACTAAATTAAATTAAGTTAAATAAAATTATTCTTTAAAAGAAGAGAATTTAGGATATTTTAATCTTTTAAACTTTTTTTCTTATCCAAATATTAGGCAATGAGCATGTGCAAGTTTTAAATTTTTTTAAAAATTAACTTTTAGAGACCAGCAGATGGTGTAATGGTTACGTCAATGGACTCCCACATAATCAGCTGCGGTTCAAGTCCTGGACATGGTGGCTTAAAACTCACACTGGAGGGACCAGCAGTTAGCATAATAGCTATGTCACTAAACTCCCAGGTAGCCGACCGCGGTTCGAGTCCTGGACCCGGTGGCTTAAAGTCACACCAGGCGCGTGTGTGTGTGTGCCCAAGATCCTGAGAGGAGAATGGAGGAAAAGGGATTGCGGCTTTGGCCTCACCCCCTCGGTGGGATTTCTCGCTTCCCATCTCTCTGTCTCTCTCTATCTCTCTGTCTCTCTCTTTCTGGTGAGCGCACAAGCCCTATAGCAAAAACCTCTCCAAAAAAAAAAAAAATTCACACTGGATGTGTGCACGTGCATGCCCAAGATCCTGAGAAGAGACTGGAGGAGAACAGATTGTGACATGGCCATCCCTTCTGGGGGGTGATTTCTCACTTTCTGTCTGTCTCTCCAGTTGCCGCACGCATTCTATAGCAAAAATCTCTTCCAAAAATTAACTTTTAAGTAATATTTTAATGCACCTGTGAATCTTTTTGGACTGGCAAATCTGGTAACTGTAATTTAGCTACTACCATGAAACTTCAAATCAAACATCAGCTTTTGGGAACCAGCAGTTAGCTTAATGGCTATGTCGCTGGACTCCCACGTAGTCGACCGTGGTTCACGTCCTGGACCCGGTGGCTTAAACTCACGCCGGGCGCGTGTGCGTGTGTGCCCAAGATCTCGAGAGGAGAATGGAGGAGAAGGGACTGCGTCGTGACCATCCCCCCTGGAGGGTGATTTCTCACTTTCTGTCTCTATGTCTCTCTCTGTCTGTCTGGCGAGCGCATGCGCCCTATACCAAAAAATCCTCTCAAAAAAAAAACAGCTTTTGAAGACCATCAGAAAAGGAATTTCAGTTGAATATTATATCCTGGAAATTTTCAATGCTGATTTTTCAAAATCACTAAGTTTTTTATGACTTCATGGCATTGAACTTAGGGAATGGATGAGTCAAGTGTTCCTTTTAAAACATGAAAATAATGAACAGCACTAGAATATAAAGGAAAGAAATGTAACACAGCAGTATCACAAAATACATTTCAAAATTCTAAGCAGGCTTACCTTAAGTATAAAAAAAAAAAAAAGTACAATTTTCTTCCCTACATCTTTCATTAAGACCAAGTCCAGTACCCTCCATTCAAAAGAAAGCTGTCCCTGATTTGAGGAAGCATGGCAGCTCACACAAAGTAACAGACTCCTCACTGAGGTGTCTGCAATGAAAAGAACATATTCCCCAAAGAGGAAAAGGAAAGGCATATCTAACCATTCGCATGAGCAACCATGTTTTCCTCTGTTCACAGGGATATTATGTTCCAGATCTACAGGAAAATTCAAAACAATAAAATATACTAGAAGTGTGGTCAGCAGGTGGCATAGTGGGTAAGGTGCTGGACTACCACATGGTCAACATGGCTCAAGTCCCAGACCCAGCAGCTTGAAACTCATACTGGGCACATGTGTGCCCAATATCCCAAGAGGAAAATGAAAGAGAAGGGACTGTGGCATGACCATCCTACCGGGGGGTGGCTTCTTGCTTTCTGTCTCTCTCTGTCTCTGGCAAGTGCACACGTCCTTTAGCAAATAAATATATATTGCCTAGAAGTATCAAATATCAGCTGATGTCCAAGGTATACTCCTCAACTTCCTCATTCTGGAATTGGCTAACCAATAATGTATTAAAATTGGAGGGAAGGAGATACCTTGTTTTTAATTTTTCCACAGGGCACATGTGCTTTCCTGAGAAAAGTAGGGGGAGAGAAAGTAGAAATCATCCCCATGGGGCATGGTCACACTACAATCACGTCTCAGGATTCGGGGCATACATGCACACATGCCCAGTGTGTTTTTCAAGCGGCAACGTCCAGGAATGGAACTTTGTGGTTAGCCATGTGGGATCCAGCCACCTTAACCACTCTACCACTGGCTGGCCCAACTCATTTGTTTTTTCTTTTTTTGGAGAGATTTTCACTATAGGGCACGTGCGCTCGCCAGACAGACAGAGACAGAAAGACAGAAAGCGAGAAATCATCCCCCAGGAGATCCCCCCTCCATTCTCCTCTCGGGATCTTGGGCACGCATGCACACGCGCCTGGTGTGAGTTTTAAGCCACCAGGTCTGGGACGCAAACCACAATCGACTACGTGGGAGTCCAGTGACATAGCCATTACGCTAACTGCTGGTCCCTATTTTTTCAAACTATGATCATAACACATATTACTTGAAAGTGAGTGATTTTTAATTATTTTACCCCATCATCAAAGTATAAGACAATGACAATAAGTAAGACTTATTTTATTTCAGAGAGCATGGTCTTCATGATTTTGCTTAAGGCCAGTACTAGCCATAAGTTAAAGAAAAATCCTATATCTGAAAAATCAGAAGTATGACATAAAAACAACCATAACGGACTTTAAAAGTAAAACAAATTGTTCAATTCGTAAGTAGCCTAAAAGTGAGAAAGACATGACCCTAAAATTATAGCATTCCAGGGCTGGCAGGTGGTGTGGTGGTTGAAGCGCTGGACTCCCACATGACCAACTGCAGTTTGAGTCCCAGACCTTTAGTCTGGCTTTGTCACTTTCCTTCTCTTTCTCTCTGTCTCTGGTCAAATTTAAAAAATATATATAATATTCGTAATAATAAATATAACTAAATGAATAATTATAAATAAAAAATAAAATAAAGCATTCCCTACTTCTCATAAAAAACGGCAGAGTATAATTCTGTTTCATTTGGGCCAGTAGGAAGCATGGTGGTTAAAGTGCTGAATCCCGGGACCAGCAGTTAGTGTAATGGCTATGTCACTGGACTCCCATGTAGTCCACCGCAGTTCGCGTCCCAGACCCGGTGGCTTAAAACTCACGCCAGGCGCATGTGCATGCAATGCCCAAGATCCCGAGAGGAGCATGGAGGAGAAGGGATTGCGATGTGGCCATTCTCCCTGGCAGGGGGGTGATTTCTCACTTTCTGTCTCTCTATCTCTCTCTATCTGTCTGGCAAGTGCATGTGCCCTATAGCAAAAAACCTCTAAAAAAAAAAAAAAAAGTGCTGCATCCCACATGGCCAACTTTGTGGTTCAAGTCCTAGACCCTGTGGCTTGAGAAACAGGCAGAGCATATGTGCGTGTGTGCCCAAACTCCTAAGAGAAGAATGAAGGAGAAGGGATTGTGGCATGACCTTCCCCCCGGGGAGTGATTTCTCACTTCCCTCTCTCTGCCTCTCTCCAGCAAGCGCATGACCCCTAAAACAAAAACCTAAAATAAGAAGAACAATAATAACAACTTTGGTTCAATGCAAACATAGGCAACAATCAAATAAGGAATAAAGGGGGGAGGGGAGCAGGACCTGCATTCATTCTGTTGTAGTACCTCCACAAGCAGTAACATAAAGTAATACTGCCTAAAGTATGTTCTAAGGAAACCTTGGTCCTCAGGATACTGAGGTGAATAAAAGCTAATTAAATTTCTTCTTCAGTGAAAGACTTCATTTTGCATACTGTGAATCTCAGGGGAGATACCATACATCCTGAGATCAATTTGATGGAGTCTACCAAGACCAGAAATTGGTTAAAACACATTGACATGAACTATTAATAAGACCTCTAAGAGCAAAGACAAACACGATGGGAGCTCGTACTACTGCAGGAAGATTCTGAATACTAGAGAACTCCATCACTACCACCAAATACCCACAAAATCAAAAGAAAAATATACTAGAGTAAATAGCCCACATACGCTTTCATTCAGGGAGGTCTCCAGACATGCACCGGAACACTCCCATGTGGCCGGCCTCACTGTGTATCATTTTACCGCTCTGCCACTATCTGCCCCCCTTGAAAATATCTTAATTGACATCCTTGAAAAGACATCCTATGGTGAAAAATTTGGGCAAAGATACTATAAATAATTTGGGAGAGATCCTTCACCCACATTTTTGATAAATTTTTTTCTTAAGATTTAAAATCACGGGGTGGGGGGTGGGTGGATAAGGGGAGTACCAGCAGGTGGCATGGTGGTTAAGGTGCTGG